TGTAGTCCTGTGGCACCTTAGTCCTGGTCTACACCCTTATTTTGAAATAACAAGCTGAGTGTCCACACTCCATTATTCTGAAATAAGGTGTTGGTTATTTTGAGGTAACTTCTGCTTTTCTTGGGGAATAAGCTTATTTTGAAATAATTATTTTGCGAGTTATTATTTCAAATTTAGTGATTTAAAAGTAATTGCCTAGTGTAGAAATGCCCTTTAAGACTAACAAAAATAAATATTTGTTAGTCTCTAAAGAGCCACAGGACTACTCATTGTATTTGAAGTTACAGACTAATACAGCTACCTCTCTGAAACTGATAATAGAGAGGACATCTCCCACACCTGACTAATCATTGTGGCACTGACTAGTAACCATCCTGTACCACTGCATGAGTACCCACTTTCACTGATATTCAAGGTAGTTCATTATCCACTCAAGCAGCTACATCATATTTACTGATCTTACAGAATAGTTTTTAGTGCCATATTGTATAAAAAGGTTTTTTAAAGTTCCAGCAATCCATGTTTATGGCTGCATACCATTACCCTGCATCAACTACTTAGGTTACTTTCTCAAGAAATTTGATCAATGTTATGCATGCCCTCTGCTCTGACTATCCTTAATTAGTATAAATCACATTTCTAGGTGTTCCCTGTTGTATCCCTAATTATCGTTTCCAGTATTCTCCTCCCAACAAGACAAGCTTACAGATCTGTAGTTTCCTGGATCCAGACATTATTCTTTATCAAAGCTTTATGATATAGTATTGCTGTCAGATGGCAGAGAATTTTCAAACATACTCATTCATCTTTTTGACAGAGGTTGTTGTATGGTACTTAGGGCCAAAACATCCAATTTTGGGGAAAAATCACTTTGGAAGATTAAATATTTGCATTAGTTTAATAAATAAAAAGTATGAAATCATAAACTACTGAATAAGTTCATTACACCTTGACATTAGAAGCAGCTTAACATTCTTTCTAAACCTTTCCAACCTTGTAGCTTTTATCTTGGGTTATTATTAAAAAATATCTTTGCAATTTTCTAAATAGGTGAAGACACTTTTCTGGTCAATCATAAGTCTAGAAGCTGGTATTTCAAGAATACTTAAGTTAATGATGTAAGCTCATAAAGACACAAATAGTAAAGCGGGAAAGGATTGGTGATTTACAATTGAAAAAGATCACCTCTTTTTCAAGGCTCTTTATTATCTGTTATTGAGATAAAGGAAAATGAAATGAGTGGATGGAACCATACCTAAAAAATATCTAAAATGCCAATGAACTACAATTTGACAATAAAGAATGCAATGAAGAAAGATGTGGGTAAATTCTCTAGGTAAGGATTCAAGAGAGAAATACCTTTGTATATCTGCTATAGATCACTTGGTACTTTAGTATCAGAGGGGTAGCCGTGTTAGTCTGAATCTGCAAAAGCGACGAGGAGTCCTGTGGCACCTTATAGACTAACTGAAGTGTAGGAGCATAAGCTTTCGTGGGCAAAGACCCACTTCGTCAGATGACATGCATCTGACGAAGTGGGTCTTTGCCCACGAAAGCTTATGCTCCTACATTTCGTTTGGTACTTTAGGATACCAAACACCATACTCATGGGAAATTTAAATTCATATTAGTGCTGGTAAATGTAGCCAAACATGCACTGAAGAAACTCCTTTGTTAGGATGAAGTAAACATAAATAAAGGGAAAAAAACTTTGTTCAGAAAGTACAGACATATACAGCCGGATGACTGTGGCTCTGGCCATGAGAGGCCACCACCCCTGGACCAAGTCAGGAGCAAGGTCAAGGAGCTCCACCAGGGCTTCACAAGGGCCAGGGACCTTAGCTTTCACGCCGGGGCAGGACCCCACTGCTGCCTCTACTTCCCCATCCGTGGTGGCGGACTCGGGGCTTGAGACACCCGTCACCCTCTTGGAGCTCCCTGCTGAGGAGGAGGAGGAGAAGGAGGAGCTGCAGCAGGAGGAGGAGATGTCATTCTGAGCCTTGAGCCGGTACCTCAGGGCCTGGACGTGTCGTAAGCATCCTCTGAGGGTGGGGTTGGATCATCAGGTGAGTGTTCTCAGTTTTCCACACACTCAGGGAGGAGGAGGTGGAGTAGAGGGGATGGGGTGCGATTGTTGCTCGGCCTGGACATTGTGCAGTCCATACATGTGGAAGCACATGCAGCACCAGTCTGTGCCACGCGGCCTCAGGAGGCAGCCCAGGAGTACCGCTGGGCTCCTGCTCACAGGCTCAGGGGAGGCTATGCACATGTCTAACATCTCCCATCTCCAGTTACCGCTGGAAGCAGGCTGGGCACAAGGATGCATGCACAACCCCACACAGACTGATGAGTGCTGCACACAGCACTCGGGCATGCCTGTCTGTGTGAGGCACCACTAGCTCCTGCAGACAGCACTGCCAAGTGCAGGTGTATGTGTGTGGCCCCCATTGAAGGCCAGGCTATTCTAGGCCCCTCGGATCCCAGAGTGGCAGGACACTTCCCTTGCCTACTTGTCCATGGGATGGAGCGCTCTAGATTTTAAAAATACAGAAGACTAAAGAGAAAACTTTTTGCTGAATCAGTCCTACATTTTAGCACTGATAACTTAATATAAATATTATATGCCAGGACTGCCTGGTTTAATTTTGGCATGTTTCCAAAAACCTAGTTGAAAGCAAGACAATCCATTTACAAAATGTGACTGAGTCAAATGTTTGACTAGAGAAGAAAATTTAATTTAAATGGAATAATTTTTTTTCAAAAAAGCATTTTTTTAAAAATTGATGTAGAAGTTACAAGTCATATAAAGATATCTAAGTGATAAACTTCTGGTAATTGAGAAAAATTTGCTTATATTCTTGTGTGAAAAGAAAAGATGTTTTGCATGTCATGATTTTATAATAATGTGCTACAAATCTTTAAACCTCTATCAGGGTCTAATTAACTTGGGCACAGCATGGTAGCCAGGAACAGTATCTTTTTCGTGACATTTTAATGCCTCAAAGTGAGTACAAACAATTTATCAGAGGGAACAGGCATGGCTGCCTTTCTGGGAAAAAACATTATAAAACTTTTTTGTCTGAAATTATGATCAAAGCTTTATAATTTTACTAAGGTCTAAATAATTTTGCATTCATTACTATTGGTACAAAAAGTTATAAAATTGTTTATAACTTCCATTAGTGACTGTTTAAGCATAAGGCAAATGACATCTGTCTATTTACAATTATTTCAGAATATGGTTAATTTAGTAGTTCTTCATAAAAGATGGTTTTGTATTACTAATGAAACTTATGGAAAATGAAAGCAGAACCATTTAACTATTGTGCCCCTATTTTAGATAGTGGAGGACACACAATTTATACTCTCTTGTTAGTTTAGTTATTTTATTTATTTGGAAGGCCAACACATGTTATTTCTGTTTGCTAGGGAAAATTGATTGATAATCTCAGCATATAATATCCTGGTAAAGTTTTCAGTAAGGTTCCATGGAGATAACATGGTCTCTCTGGGAGTAAAGCTTTTTTTGATGTTCAATGTTAAATTAGGAGAAAAAAGGTTAAGTAATATATGTCTGTGTCTAGACTGGCAAGTTTTTCCGCAAAATCATCTGCTTTTGCGGAAAAACTTGCCAGCTGTCTACACTGGCTGCTTGAATTTCCGGAAAAGCACTGACGATCTCATGTAAAATCATCAGTGGTTTTCTGGAAAAACTATGCTGCTCCTATTCGGGCAAAAGTCTTTTTCCGAAAGACTTCTGCGCAAAAGGGCCAGTGTAAACAACATAGTACTGTTTTCCGCAAAAAAGCCCCGAACGTGAAAAAGGCGATCAGGGCTTTTTTGCGGAAAACCGCGTCTAGATTGGCAACGGACGCTTTTCCACAAAAAGTGCTTTTGCGGAAAAGCATCCTGCCAATCTAGACGTGCTTTTCCAAAAATGCTTTTAACGGAAAACTTTTCTATTAAAAGAATTTTCGGAAAATCATGCCAGTGTAAACGTAGCCTATATGGGTATGTCTACACTACCACCCTAGTTCGAACTAGGGTGGTTAATGTAGTCAATCGAAGTTGCAAATGAAGCCCGGGATTTAAATATCCCGGGCTTTATTTGCATCTTGCTGGGCGCCACCATTTTTAAATCCCCGGTAGTTCGGACTCCGTGCCCACGGCTACACACGGCACGGAGTAGGTAATTCGAATTAGGCTTTCTAATTCGAACTATCGTTACTCCTCGTAAATTGGATTCCGTAAAATGGAGCACAATCTACAAAGTAGGATAAGATAAATGAATTATAGTGACTTGTACTTCTAAAAAATTCCAGTGTACAATAGAATACTTCTAAAGCTACTGATGTGGTAGCAATTATAGAATGTGACCAAGTCTTCTATTCTCTCCATTATCACTGTAGGACAAAGTATTTTCAGCAATATAATAAAGGCGTGACAATATCAGGAATGCTGGTAAGAGGCCTTCTCCATTTTTGGGGAGCAGTGGATCATAGGTAGAGTTCATATAGACATTTGCTATATCAATATTATTCTTTATTCTCCATGGAACTTTTGGGGAGACCCTGCAAATACTTTCTGACCATACTGCTCGTGTCCATGTACTCCTTCTTTAGCCTGGAGACCCCTGGAAATGTAAAGAACCCTCTATGAAGAAAAGAATGCTGCTGTGGAGGAACCTGTGGGTGGCCCAAGAAAAGCCAATCACTATTTATGCTATTGTAGGTGAATGCAGAAAAAGCAATGCAAAAAAAATCTTGTTTTTGTTTAACACAAAACAGTTAATTGTGAATGAGTTTTCTGGAACTTTGTGAAGGAGAGATTTGAGAACAGTGTCAATGCTATTTATAAATTATCCAAAGGACAGTTAGTCAATTAAAAAGTGCTTTTGAGTCTCATCACACAAATTTGTAATATGAAATATAGTATGTTTGCTCTTTCTAAGTAGAAGGTAAATGACAGTCATCATAAGCAGATATCTAAGATTTGTTTTTAAATACTTTAATCAGTAACAGAACAGCAAAGAGAAATAGATATTTTCAATAACACAAAGCTCTGATGAAAACTCTTGATATTTTCATGACACTTCTATAATATCAGTACATAACTATAAAATAGCTAATTATTTTAACATAGGTTGCATGCCAATTCTTATACAAAAAATACCTAACATGACTGGCTAAATGCTAGCCTTCAAGACAAGGCCAATACCACGTATACTTGTTGTGGTTCTATTTTCATAAAGAAGCCTGACATGTATTCGTTCACATAAAAATTATGTTGGGTAGCCCATATAATATACAATTGAAAGATGATGGCTGAATTGCAGGAAGATTTGACTGATTGGAAGTGAATTGGTTTTCGATTTCTTCAGTAGAAGAATTCTTAGGGTTCTCTTCCACTAGAAAACATTCAAAAATTGTTATTTACAATTATACTATTTTATAATACAGTATTTTTGTCTTCTTTGCTTACACATTCAAATCCTTTGCATTCCTGTTTTACATTGAAATGGCTGCAGCTACACACAAGGGGACAGATAGAACAGAGAGAACTCAGGCAGTACTTACAATTTTAGTCTTCTCACTCCCCCAAAACCATTACTACAATCAGAAAGCGAAGTGAGGATTTTATTGGCTTTTCACCAAGAGCAACAGAGTTATTTTATTTTACTTTTCTTTACAGCCAGAGGCTTAACCCTGACAACTTCTAACCAACATTGCAAATGGAATACAATTTATATGTCAGTAATTTATATTTATTTAAATATTTTTACCCCGCCTTTCTATTTAAAATATTCAAGCACAAAAAATACAAATATATTTACAAATTTAAAATATGAGAATTTAAAATATGAGACCTCAGAGGGACATAACCAGCTAAAAACATAGAGAGGAGGAACACACACATACAGACTCAAACATTAATAAAAACACGAGTAAAAAGGGTGGCTTTAGCCTGACGCCGGAACAACGCTAGCATTGGCGCCATGCGAATATCCCGAGGAAGAGAATTCTACAGCCTGGGAGCAAAAGCTGAGAATACCCTGTTTCGCGTAGATGTTAATCTTATCTCCACAAGTGGGGGAACACGAAGCAAAACCTCCCCAGCTGACCTCAATCCCCACGCAGGTTCATATGGGAAAAGATGCTGGATGGCTTCAGATACTCTAGAGCCAACTCATTAAGGCTTTATAGGTCATAACTAAAACTTTAAATTGTGCCTGGAAACATACGGGAAGCCAGCACAGCTGCCGAAGCACTGGCATAATGTGCTCCGTATAACTAGTGTTGGTTAAAACTCGAGCAGCCACATTCTGGACCAGTTGAAGTTTCCAAAGGCTCTTTAGAGGCAGCCCTACATAAAGTGCATTACAGTAATCCAGTCAGGATGTAACAAAAGCATGGATCACTGTGGCCAAGTCATGTTTGTTCAATAAAGGTTGCAGCTGGCAGATTAAACGAAGTTGCCCAAAGGCACTCCTGGCCACCGAAGAAATCTGATTTTCAAATGTTAAAAAAAAAAAAAAAAAAGGGCCCTAGGACTCCCAAGCTGCGTACCTGTTCTTTCAGGGGAAGAGTAACCCCGTCTAGAACAGGTGCCATGCCACATTCACGCACAGATGGCCTCCTGATCCATAGGACCTCAGTCTTATCTGGGTTCAATGTCAGCTTATTTAACTTCATCCAAACCATCACTGCTTCTAGACACCAATTTAGATCAGTCATTGCCACACCTGGTTCTAATGTCACAGGGAAATAGAGTTGGGTGTCATCTGCATATTGATGGCACCATCTTCCAAAACTCCTTATGACCTCTCTCAGCGGCTTCGTGTAGATATTAAACAGCATAGGGGACAAGATGAAACCTTGCGGGATCCCATAGCACAATTGCCACGGGGTCAAATAGCAGCCCCGAGCTCTACCTTCTGAAAATGTCCTGACAGATAGGACTGGAACCATTGCAAAACAGTGCATCCAATACCCAACTCCGCCAGGCGTCCCAGAAGGATATCATGGTCAATGGCATCAAAAGCCACTGAGAGGTCTAGGAGAATCAACAGGGATGCACTCCCCTTGTCTATCTCCCAACATAAATCGTCTACCAGGGCGACCAAGGCTGTTTCAGTTCCAAAACCAGGCCTAAAGCCAGACTGAAATGGATCTAAATAGTCTGTTTCTTCCTAGAAAGCTTGGAGTTGCAATGCCACCACCCTCTCGAGTGCCTTGCCCAAGCAGGGAATATTAGCAATTGGGCAATAGTTATTTAAGTCATGTGGGTCCAGGGAAGTCTTCTTGAGTAATGGTTTTATAACTGCCTCTTTCAAGGCAGCAGGAACCATATCAGATCTAAAAGACGCATTAATAATCCCCTGGACCCAGCCAGTTATCCCTTCCCGCCTAGATTTAATAAGCCATGAAGGGCAGGGGTCAAGTGAGCACGTGGTCGGTCGCACTCTTCCAAGCACCTTGTCCACATCCTCAGTCTGCAATAGCTGAAACTGATCCCAGAGAAAAATGACTGGATGGTGCACTCAACACATTCTGTGCACCACTTACACAGCAACCAGAGTCTAAATCCAACCGGATGTGGGTGATCTTATTAGCAAAATGCTTTGCAAACAGATAGCATTCGGGGGGCCAAAGGCTCCTCTATTTCGTCATGAGTGCCAGACTGCAACAGGCCCTGCACTAATCAAAACAATTCCACTGGACGGCATTGTGCAGACGTGATACGGGTGGAGAAGTAGCTTTGCTTTGCTGTCAGCACTGCCACAAAGTACGCTCACAGTTCAGCTCTAACCGGCAGCCGATCAGACTCAGCTCTAGTTCTCCTCCAGCAGCATTCTAGCCGTCGCACAGACTATTTTGCTGCCATCATCTCCCTAGAAAACCAGGGAGCAAACTTGGCTCGACTGGTCCGAAGAGGTGTTCCATGTATCAACTAGGGTATCTACAGGATTATTTGCCATAATGGCTGAACATTCTCTCAGGGACCTCAGAAAACACTCCGGATCCATCAGCCTCCGAGGGCAGATCATCTTAATTGGTCCTCTGCCTCTGTGAAGGGGAAGGCCAGCAGATAGTCTAAACTTGACCAAGTAGTGATCAGTCCATGACAAAGGGAGTGTAGCCACATCCCTTATCCCAAGAACTCTATCACCCTTAGTCCAAAAAAACAAATCGAGTGTATGATCTGCAACATGTGTTGGATCAGTTATTTCTTGGGATAATCTTTGGGTGGTCATGGTATCCATAAAATCTTGGGCTGGACCTGACAGAATAGCCTTGGCATGGATATTAAAGTCCCCCAAGACCAAAAGCCTCGGCGTCCTCAATGCCACGTCCGAGACCACATTGGCCAGTTCAAGCAGAGCATCTGCCGTAGAGCGAGGTGGGCGGTACACAAGCAGCATACTCAACCTATCCTGGCCACCTCTGTTCCTTTTTCCGGTCCTATTCCCAGCCTTAAAAATGTTGGTACCTTTAATACCTGGCCATCAGCCCTGAGGGTGCTGTTGCTGAATGCCAGGTCGGTATCCCAGAATACCGCTGTAATCCATGATTTAATTCTGAATGAAGGGGTGACCTGGCTTGTATCAATGAGACCTGTCTGAGAGTGGAAGGAGACATCGACCTTTCCCAATTGTGCCCGGCTGGGTTCTCGGTACAGCATCAACCGCGGCTTAATGGTCGGGGAGGTCGAGTGGCAATTGTCTATCGAGATACTATCTCAGGGTATGTCTACACTACCACCCTAGTTCGAACTAGGGTGGTAGTGTAGACATACCCTGAGATAGTATCTCGATAGACAATTGCCACTCGACCTCCCCGACCATTAAGCCGCGGTTGATGCTGTACCGAGAACCCAGCCGGGCACAATTGGGAAAGGTCGATGTCTCCTTCCACTCTCAGACAGGTCTCATTGATACAAGCCAGGTCACCCCTTCATTCAGAATTAAATCATGGATTACAGCGGTATTCTGGGATACCGACCTGGCATTCAGCAACAGCACCCTCAGGGCTGATGGCCAGGTATTAAAGGTACCAACATTTTTAAGGCTGGGAATAGGACCGGAAAAAGGAACAGCACATAACTGTCTAAACCTCATTCCCCTTGGCTGGCTGGGCCGGATCTTTCTTTCATATCTTCCCCTACCTGTCACAACTGCCACGATGCCATCTGAGCCCTCCTCCTTAGGCACCCCATCTGTTCCAAACCACGTATTGGCAGTGGGGGTGGGAAGCAGAACAAACACACACCTTCAGTTTGAGTAGCTAAAGGGAACTTCCTCTCACCAAGAACCCTCACCAGGGACTGAATAGGCCACCACACAACCAAGTGTGCTGCTCTCACCAGCACACACAAACACACACTCAATTACAATCTACCATCACAGCACACACCCTTGCCCTTGGTCTGCCCCCAAAGGGCTCCCCCAAAAGAGCAGCCCCCTTTGGATCACCCCTTCGGGGAAGCCCGGCCTCCTGGCTTTAAGGCCACCCCTGGTAATAGCTGCAGGCAACACCTGCAGCTGAAAGGTCTGAACCCTAATGGGCAGGCCTCTCACCTAGGAGCTAGGGGGTAACAGCTGTGCAGCAAGAGCTCTGCCTTCTGAGGTCTGGAGAAGCTCAGCTAACTTCTGGCTTTAAGGCCACCCCTGGTAATGCACAATTGTTACCACTTAGCTTCTTGAGAGGCCTGCCCATTAGGGCTCAGACCTTTCAGCTGCAGGTGTTGCCTGCAGAAGTTAGCTGAGCTTCTTCAGACCTCAGAAAGCAGAGCTCTTGCTGAACAGCTGTTACCATCTAGCTCCTGAGTAAGAGGCCTGCCTGTTAATAACAGACAGATAAGTCAAATACTGCCCACATGGGGCTCTCCTTCCAAACAAGAAGGTAGAAAGTTCTCTATAAATTACCCTACACAGAGAAGAATTTTTAGTGCCTTCCACCAAGCAGGGTGAACTTATTTTTGTGTTTGTAGAGATTTTACCATGATTTATAGCCACATCATTGAAATGTATCATGTAATGTAAAATTAACGAGATCTTGTATATTTCATGTTTGTGAAGCTCTTAGTCCTACTTGTCAATCATAAATATTAAATTTTATACCAGTCAGATTTCACGGGAAATATTTCCACAATGTTGGCGAGGATTTCAGCTGATTCTGATAAAACTACCAAACAGGGAATTTTACAGAGGCAAATTATGAGTACCCAAATTAGATTTTGGTCATATTACTGTCTTGATACCTCTAACTTTTGCAAAAATTGACCCTAAACGCCAGCAAACATAGTCAGGCCTTAGCTTTAGTTCTCAGCTGTTAGACTGCATTTTTTTCCAGTAAAACATCTACTTTTAATACAATATTAATTCAATACTAAGGCCTTCTACCTGCAAACACTGATGTACGTGTTTAATTTAAAATTCATATTTAGTCTCAGTGACCATAAAGACATGGATAATGTGTTTAATTATAATGATAAACACCTACAAAATTGTTTGAAGGATTGGGGCCTTAGAGGGAAGAGTACCACCAACTTAATCATCAACCATATTGTGTTTTCCAACTCAACTTACGTACTGATTTGCTCTGACTTTAGTTTGTGTATGACTGCACACTCAAAGCAATATGACTCCACATAGTACACTATTGATAAATACAGATTGAAAATGCAAAGAACTCTATAAAGTGTGAGTCACATTCATTACTTCCAACTGAGAATTTGCATTTTTATGGATGTAATTTTATATAATAATATATTTACTTCATGCAGAGATAGTTCAGTTTACTTTATCACAAATACATATTGCATTTGTCAAATTAAACAAAATTCAGAAGTTACTGGAATCAAGTGAAGAAGTTTTCAACAAACTGCCTTCATGAAACTAAACTTCAAAAGTACCTTACTAAATTATAGGAATTTTCCAAATATCCATTCTCTACCACATATGCACTAATTAATTCTCTTGATTTTCAGAGGCTTCAGGCACCAACAGCTCTGATTGCAGTCTGTGGAAACTGCAGGTACTCAGCACCTCTGAAATTCAGGCCATTAAGTATAAACAATATAAAATGTACATTATTAGCTTAAAGAGAATGGATTTTTATCTACATAAAATTAGCATAATAGAGCAATTTATAAGGACACAGACTGTGAAGCAGAATCAACATCTTGTCCTGGATAGTCCAGAAAAGTGAAATTAAGACTTGTCTTAACATATGTTGAATTAATATGTTCCCAAAGTATATTATGGCTATCTGGCAATGAAAGCACTTTATGATTTGGTACATATTAGACGCTGTAAGGGTATGTCTACACTTGCACTCTTTTTCGAGAGAGGGATGCAAATGAAGACATTAAAAATCGCAAATGAAGCCGGGATTTAAATATCCCGTGTTTCATTTGCATATTCGTGTTATGGCGCTCTTTCAAAATAGTGCTATTTTGAAATAACAGAGGGTGTAGTGTAGACATACCCTAAGATATTAGGTTGATTTAGTTGAGATTGGTCCTGCTTTGGGCAGGGGGCTGCACTCGATGACCTCCTGAGGTCTCTTCCAGCTCTATGATTCTATGATTAGTTCATCTTCACTTGTTTGTGTTTGTATCTTTCTACAAGCTGTGACTTTTGAAGCTTTTCCCTTACCCCTACTCCATCCAAGAACTATGGATATATGTATCAACTGGAAAACGTTTTAAAAATTGTTGTAATTATATATACCTATCTCCATGGATATGTCTACACTACAAAGTTAATTTGAACTCACGGACGTTAGTTCGAATTAACTTTGATAGGCGCTACACTAGCGCTCAGCTACTTCGAACTTAATTCGAACTAGTAAGTTCGAACTAGGCTGAGTCCTCGTAGAATGAGGTTTACCTAGTTCGAACTAAGCGCTCCGCTAGTTCGAATTAAGGGGTGTGTGTAGCCCCTTAATTCGAACTAGTGGGAGGCTAGCCCTCCCCAGCTTTCCCTGGTGGCCACTCTGGGCAACACCAGGGAAACTCTACTGCCCCCTCCCAGCCCCGGACCCCTTAAAGGGGCTCGGGCTGGCTACGATGCCCGTGCCAGGTGCAAGCCTGCCAGCACCCAGCCAGCAGACCCTACTCCTGGCACAGCTTGAGCCAGCCACCTGATGCCTCCCAGCCCCCCCCCCCCCCTGCCCCGCCGCCGCCGGCGTCA